CTTCACCATGACTCTAACCCTATGCTAATTATTTACAAGAGGTTTTTTTTTACGTGTTAGATCGCGTGAATATAAACGTGTCGTTAAACCCGCCACCACCCGACCAAAGCCAATTAGTAAGGATTTGTCACGTAAACAGAACGTGCCAATTCGTGACCAGTCCAGCACACCGCTTGTGTGTCAGCGAGTCAACCCACAACACTTACAATTCGAGTACCGCCATATCCCCCAAACCCTTTTACGTTGAATCGACACAACGATCCTAACCCACATCGCACCAGTATCCCCTAAACAATGATCCCCTAACCCCCTGACCCCCTGTACTCTATAGCCGTCAGCGCTATCCTCTCACCCTCTAACATCTATGAAAAGCACGAGACACCACCCCCCCCCCCCCCCCCGAGCTCGCTTGGATCTTCGGGGCATTCGTTTCAAACTGATGTCGTCGCTTCCGAGAGAAATATATGTAAATTTAATCTCGCGGTTTTTGTCGACCAGTCCAGCATTTGTGCGATACAGCGTTACGGGGGGGTGGCGTGGCAGTGAAAAACTAAAATAAACACCCAGAAACGACAGCTTTCACAAGTGCCGTTGGAACTGTGCACCACCGAAAATCCACCGATATCTGCGCCGGCAAGCCGGAACGAGGCCACCGCAGCCGCCGTGGCTGCCCTGCGTTCTACCGGCCCAAAGTTGGAGGTCGTTGTAGGTCGAGCCCTCGGCGAGTGAGGAGCAATGGTTTTCGTCGTGGACGCCGCTCGGCACAGCGTTTTGTTTTTTTGTCGGCGGGGTTTTGGCGACGGTTTCGTTGTTGTTGTTTTTTTCCCAGCGAAGTGACGAAATTTTGGGTCAGAGTGACCGGCGGCAAAATCTGGCGACTTTCGGCGATGAGGAGTCGACGCAGACTTAGGAAGGAGCGATCCCAGGATCGTGTTAACGACCCCGCACGAGTTCATTTGCGCGTAAAAAAGAAACTGCTGTATTCTATTTAGGATTTATAAAGCGCCTTTCGCCACGGCGCTAGACAACGCTTGCCGGCGGCGGTAAAAAAATGGCAAAATAAGGGAAGGATGGGCGGGAGGGGGGGGCGGCCGTTGATGATCGGGTTTGGAAAAGGAATGAGATGTGGGCAGCAGGAGGAGGAGGCGATGGTGCAGGGGGAGGAATGGGTGGAGCGTGATAGTGGACGAGGCTGGTAGAGAGGGGGTAGGGTGAAGGTGGATGGTATAGTATGAAGTAAGTGCACGATAGGGACTGTGGGTTGCTGGGCTGAGCGTAAATGCGAGAGGTTTTATTGAGTTTGTGGCGGGCTTTTTTTTTTTGGGCAGCCTGCGACGTTTTGAGCTTCGTTTGGCAACCTTCCGCTTTCAGGCGTTCACAATGAGCCCGGGACTTTTTCTGTTTTGTTTTCACGCAAGCGACATTCGTGACTGCTCTTTGGCTCTGCGCGTTTCGTGCGCTACGTTGCGTGCATTGCGTGCGTCGCCCACGACGTGCCCCCCCACCTCCACCTGCAGAACGGCGGTGGAGTCGGGCCCTGGCTCGATGAAGAAGACGATGACGACGAGGAGGAGGAGGAGGAGCTCCTGAAAAAGAAGAAGATGAGGAGGAAGCAGCTGGGGGAGAAGCAGGCGAAAGAGGTGTGGAGCACGGCACACAGAGCGGCTCCCTGTCAAATCCCCCACGAGACCCCTGTTATACCCCTGAAATATCCCTGTGAGGCCCCTGTGATATCCGCTGATATCCCATGAGATTCCACCCCTCTGAGATGTGAAATCCTGCAGTTACCCCCCGCACCTCCGATTAGCACGGTCGGCTATGTGCGGCGCGAAAGAAGTTCGACGTACATACATAAGACACCCGGTGAGCCCGATGGGTCCCTCTGATAAACCCCCGTGAGTCCCCTGTGAGAGCCCTTGAGACCCCACCGTTTGCATGGAGAAGCTGCAATCACGAGCCGTGTCAGGTGATGACTACTCCAGTTCAGATGATGTTGAATAATTATTATGTTAATGATGGTGATTACGATAATGATGACGATGACTTGCGTTCCCGGTGATAGGTGTGTCAATGTGCGTCAATGCACGCATGCTGGTAGGCGCACAAAGACAAAGATCCCCCGCGTAGCCTGTAACAGACTGTCGAGGCAAGTGCTGTTAGCGAGCAGCACCTATGAAGGCCGGAACGGCACACGAGGGGGTGAGTGGCCAGCACCACACCCGGCCGCCTTTGTCTCCCCAGTGGCGATTTTTATACATCGCACCAGGTAATAATTTGAGGCTGAGTCGACCTACGGGAGGCACAGGAACGGTTCAGATAATCGTCACCGATGTTGGCCGTGAGCGGGAATCGAACTCGGGTCGCTAGGTTTGCAGCGCAGCGCGCTAACCACTCCACCACCACTCCCCACTCAGTCACATATTCACTTTAAGATGTTTTTTGTTCATGTTTTTGTTTTTTGTTTGTTGCGGTTGCACCCGATTCAAGAGCCGAATGGCTCACATGGCTATATACCTAATACATTAACTTGAAATGAACTTGAACTTCCGCACACACACACACACGCGCATTCACTTTTGCGGCACACTGAACCTTTCCCGAGCCGGGAGGAACGGGAGGGCATCGCCGGGGCTGTGCGACCGGCTCCCCCGTGGCCGCAGTTATATCGGTACGGGCGGCCCGTGCCACCCGGGAACCTCTGCCTCGCCGTCACATTGGTGACAATCACCGCCGGTGCCTAGCTGCCGCTGATTGCGGTGACATCATCGGCCGGCTGCGCCACGGGTGACGGCACCAGAGGGCCGCTGACGGCAACTGTGCCCGTCGCACCGGGCGATCGTCACCGCAGCGACCACCACCGTCGTCTCACCATCGTTTATTATTATTTATACCGCGCCTCCGATGCTACCGCAGTGGTGCAATGGCCCGCGTTCTGAACTCACGATCCAGAGGTCATCGGGTCGATTCGATCAACGGCGCAAATTTCTTAAATCTCCCCCCCCACCCCCATCGGCTCCGTCCGACCAGCAGTGTTAGCGGGTACGCCATGGCCTCGTTAATAGCCACGTCCCAGGTACTCCCACCTCCTGGATACTGGGTACTCCACCTCTTGAGTCCTGGCTGGTGAACTCGGCAAGGCCGCGGGGAAGCATCCCGCCGAGTTTTTCACAAAACGCCAGGTTAGTCGCCACACAGAGCTTCGTGAAAACGCGCTAGGGGGTGGGGGGGGGGGGGGTGGCTGACGGCGGCGACGGGCAGGGTGCCGGGCGGGTGGGGGAACGCCACCGGTCTGGACGACGTTCGGAATCGAGCGAGCGAACGGAGCGGAACGTCTTGACGCGTGCTTGAGCCTTCTGTCGTGTCGCCCTCGGCCACTGCACACCCCATCCCCCACCTTCCACGCATCCCACCACTCCCAACAGAAAACAAGGACCGACCCGAGAAACTGGAAGACGCCGGGGGGTGCGGACCCCCCTCGTGCCAACTCTTCCTCGTCCTCCTCGTCCTCCTCTTCGTCGTCATCGTCTGGCAGCAGAGCCCCGACCACCGGCGCTCAGGACGGGCCCAGCAGCACGAATTCCAGGGGCAAAGACAAGCGGAGCAAGCAGGGAGACGACGGGGCCAAGGACCCGGGCAAGGACCCGGGCCAGGCCGCGATCAAGAAGAAGAGGAAGCAGGATGCCGGGGGGGATGGCAGGAAGGCCGCGGCGTCGCGTGAAGCCAAGAAGTCGGGTCCCCCGCCAGCGCAGCACTCCAGAGGAGACGCCGAGATCCCACCTCGCGGCGGTGGTGACGGTGGCGGTGGGGCCGGCGACCGCGGTCGGGCCAATGTCAACGCCGGAGGTCGCGCGGGTGCCCCCGATGGGCGGAAGACCTCCGGAGACTCTCGCGAAGCGGCGGATTCCTCAACGGCAGCAGCAGCAGCAGCAGCGGCGGCGGGGAAGAACAGAAAGCAAGACAAGGAGACGAACAAGAAGCCGAATAGGAATCAAGACGCCGGCAAGAAGCCGCAGAAGCCAAGGGCTCAGAGCGGCAGCGCGGGAGGCAAACCGCGGGAAGTCAGCGGCGCTCAGGGCGGGAATAAAATAACCGAGAAGGCGACGGTGGCGGCGGCGGTGGCGGCAGTCAAGGAAGGGGGTTCTGGGCCGGATGGGAAAACCAAGAGGGAGCGGCCGCACGTCGCCACGAGGCCCTCCGCGTCGGGCAAGTCGAGCGAGACGGACGGCGCGGCCAGGGGCCCGCCGGCCAGGGCCTCGAGGAGCAAGGGCGGGAGGGTCGCCGGGCCGCCCGAGAAGACGGGCGGGAAGAGGAGCGCCGAGGAACTGGGGCCCGAGGCCGCCGAGGGCGACGCCGGCAGCGGCGGCGGGGGGGGCGGCGGCAATGCCGGGAAGCGCAGGAAGAAGGCGGCGGAGCTGCGGCTGCAACTGGAGCCGGAGGCTGGAGGAGGAGGTGGTGGAAGAGGTGGCGGAGGAGGTGGTGGAGGCGGAGGAGGAGGTGGTGGAAGAGGTGGCACAGGAGGTGGAGGAGACGTTGGAGGCGGAGGAGGTGGCAGAGGAAGTGGAGGAGGAGGCGTTGGAGGAGGTGGAGGAGGTGGAGGAGGCGGCAGAGGAGGTGGCGGAGGAGGTGGTGGAGGTGGAGGAGGAGTTGGCAGAAGGGGTGGCGGAGGAAGTGGAGGAGGTGGTGGAGGCGGAGGAGGAGGTAGCGGAAGTGGAGGTGTTGGAGGAGGTGGAGGAAGAGGTGGCGGAGGAGGAGGTGGAGGAGACGTTGGAGGCGGAGGAGGTGGCAGAGGAGGTGGAGGAGGCGGCGTTGGAAGAGGTGGAGGAGGTGGAGGAGGCGGCGGTGGAGGAGGTGGAGGAGGCGGCGTTGGAGGAGGTGGAGGAGGTGGAGGAGGCGGCGTTGGAGGAGGTGGAGGAGGTGGAGGAGGCGGCGTTGGAAGAGGTGGAGGAGGTGGAGGAGGCGGCGTTGGAGGAGGTGGAGGAGGAGGAGGCGGCGGTGGTTGCAGGAGAATCGGCGTCAAACGCACGTCGCCGTCGCTCCCTGGTGAGACCCCCGCCCTCTCCTCACACTTCTTGATTAATTTAGGTTTTATTTTAGTACAAACACCGGGGGGTCAGATTCTGCTGTTGTTTTATTTTCATCCGGTTTTGTGTGGTGGTGGTGGTGGGAATGGGCTGATGTCTCCATCACGGATAGCCAGGCAAATCGCCAAAGCCATGGGGTTGACCCGCTCTCGTTGAGATGTGAACCAGGCCCTAAAACCCCGGAGTTTGAAGCTATTTCTGAAACGTGAATTGTCCGACATCGGTGTCCAATTTGAACTGCAGTAGCGAGTGTCGTGCCAACCCCGTGTGTCGGAGAAAGGCCTCGCCGAAGGAGACTTCGCAGAACTACCTCTGAGATCCCTTCAGTTTGACGGCTCATGCACATGTCGCGGTGGTGGTGGTGCAGCACTTTCGGACCCATCCCTCCCTCCCGTCTCCCTTCCTCCATCCCTCCCGTCTACTGTGATCCTTTTTATTTTGAGAGTTTAAAAACGGGGAGCACGGGTCTCGCTCGATTTGATTAAATAAAACCCAAGCAGAGCCGAGCGATATCAGAAAGCCACTGGGGGCTATTCGTTTTAAAATCTAGACTTAAAAACTAATTTCTTTAACACTGCTTTTTGTGTTTTTAGTTTGGCATCCTTCCCCCGCACGGTTGGCTACGTACGGTGCAAAAGAAGTTCAAGTTTCATACATACCAGCGGCCGGCATTTGATGCCAACCCCCGGCTATTTGGCTCGGAGATCCAAAACCGCCATCACTTTGCTCCCCATCGCCGCCTCCCATTTTTTTTTGGACGATTAATTTGGCTGAATGCAGCGACAAATGTTTGTCTGTTCCAAAAAGCTTAGCAACAGTTGGTTCCCGAGCTGTGGAACTTTTTCAGACGCTGCAATTTAGGGGAGTTTACAGATTCTATTTTTAATGTTTCGCATTTACGGGTGCACGGTGGTCCGATCACGTTCTTTTGTGGATTTGGCGAGGTCGGGATATGCGACGTTGCACCGACCTGTGATTTACACGCCGTCCTTCACTGCAGGTAGCCTTCATGGTTCGAGCTGTCCGTGATGGGATGAAAGCTTTTATTTTTTTTTATTTTTTTGCAGAAATATTATTCTTCGTGAATTGCGAATTGGCGATTGAGCTCGGTTTTGAAGATTGTTACGGGAATTGCTCTTCAACTCACCGGTGAGCTGCAATAATAATGATGAGGGTGATTACAATAATCATCTGTGCGTTGTTAAACGCCTATACACCACGTGACAATTTAATCTGTTTGGCTGTGTTGGGTGGCGGAGGGTTATTAATGACACATCATCGTTGACTAACTCACAAAATCTATCATGGTGTGTCACCCGACGTAGCTTCATTTCCTTGTATAGCATTCACGGCCTTCTTAATGTCTTTTTATTTTTAAACATGAGTAGGGTTTTAAAGGATGTGTATCATTTGGAGCTTGCACATCGTGGGTTGTTGCATCACTTACACAGATTTGCATAACTCCCAAGTAAGGACAGTACTACAAGCTGGATCATGTCACCATCCGTGTGGATCTCTTGTATGTATGTTGAACTTCTTTCGCACCGTAGCGTAGCCAACCGTGCACATCGGAAGTGCGGGGGAAGGGCAACACACTGGCGGGTTTTCTCTGGGAAGTCGGGATCCCACCCGCGCGAAACGAGACGCTCATTAAAGACGGCATTGGCCAAAATTCCTCAGGAGCAGGGCTCACCGGGACTCGGCGAGTGAATGAAATTTGCGCCGTCAATAATCTGACATCGTTCACGACGTGGGCCGTGGTGGGCAGGGCGCATCGCTAGTGCGGGCGATGGCCGGCGGCGGTCGAGAGTAATCACGGAGCGGCATCCAAAGGGAAGTGAGCGCTTCGCAGAGCGCGTCCAACCGAGGAGATGGAGCGTTTGAACTCGGCTCGCGTGCAGGTGCTGGCCGCATCGTCACGTCGCAGGCTCGTGGGAAGTGGCAGCGGCTTGGGGGGGAGGGGAGGCCTTCATCCAGCAGTGGATTGACCATGGCTGCTGCTGCTGCTGAATATTGATTTCACAAAGGCCATTTTTTTTTTTATAAAATAAAAAAGCCAACGCGAAAGCTGGTGGCGGGAAGGGGTTAAGTTGGCACGAGCGGGCGACATGGTGATGGGCTCTGGGAGCGAGCTCCCTGCCTGCTCACCGCTCCCTCACCGCTCGCTCACCCCTCCCTCACCGCTCCCTCACCGCTCCCTCACCGCTCGCTCACCGCTCCCTCACCGCTCGCTCATTGCTCCCTCACCGCTCCCTCACCGGTCCCTCACCGGTCCCTCACTGCTCCCTCAGCGCTCCCTCACCGCTCGCTCGTCTGCCCTGTGAGCCACGCCACCATGTGATGCAGCCGGTCGTGGGGGGTCGGGGGGGGGAGGGGTTGAACCCCCCTTCCCATCATGTTGGGGGGGGTGCTGTGGCTGTGGTCGTCACGGTAACCGCGTCTCTCAGAGCGAGAGGGAGGTTCACTGTGAAGCGGTTGTCATGGCAATGCCTAGGGGTGGCCGTGGAGGTGGTATCTCCTCACCCTCCCCATCATGCTCTTCCTTAGCCTCATCCCTCCTCCTTCGCTGCCCCCCCCCCCCTACGCATCAACCCTCATCATTTTCTTTATCCTCACCATCTTCCTGCTGTTCTTCATCCTCATTCTCCTCCAGATCTTCAACCCTCCTTCCTCCATCTCCTGCCCCACTCCTCCGCCCCCATTAAGCCCTCCTCCTCTTTCACCACCTCCTCACTGCTGCCGCTCTCTCGGCTCGCTGACAATGTTCAGCTCAAAGTCCCCCGCTGTGCTCTCTCCTCCGCGGGGGCAAAGTAAAAACACAAAGATCCCCCGTATAGCCTTAAATACTGTAGGGGCAAGTGCTGTTAGCGAGCACCTATAAAGCCCGACATGGCACACGAGGGGGTGGGTTGCCAGCACCACGCCCGGCCGCCTTTGTCTCCCCAGTGGCGATGTTTACACACCACACCAGGTACTCATTTGAGGCTGAGTCGACCTAGGGGAGGCCCAGGACCGGTTCGGATAACCGGTGTTGGCCGTGAGCGGGAATCGAACTGGGGTCGTCAGGTTCGATGCGCAGCGCGCGAACCGCTGCACCACCGCTCCGCGGGGGTCACAGTGCACGCACGAACACATGGGGTACGCGGGAAGATCGGTGCATCACGATGACCGTCACGAGAGTTAACCGAGCAGGGCTCTGGCAAGGCGGACGGGCGGGCAGACTGCGGGCAGCCTCAGTGGTTGGGGGGGCAGTCAGTTGGAACAGCGAGCAGATGGGGCAATGGGCAGTCAGATGGGACAGTGGGCAGCTAGCTAGGAAAGTGAGGCAGGCAGATAGGAGAGTTGGGCAGTCAGTTCGGTGAGTGGGCAGTTGGGAGAGCTGACTTTTATTGCATCTATGTGAATCGGAATTGGCAATGGTTTGGATATTTAATTCAATATTAAACCTACCTAAAGAACGGTTACTCGCCGAGAGAACGGGCTCGTGCGGTGCGATCGCGTAAGGCTCTTGTCGTTCGCGAGCTGCGTGGGCGACGGGTTCTGCGCCCCGCGGTCTGACCCCGGGTTGCTACCCCTCTCCATTACCACGGTTGGCTACGTGCGGGTGCGAAAGAAGTTCAACACACGCGCGTGCGCACCTTAATTGCCACCGCGGAAACGCACGATCGAGCGATTTGAGTTGCTGACCTCAGGCAATTGACAAGGGGTGCGGGGGAGTGGGGTCGTGGGGGCATGCGCGGAGAAGAAGGCGAGAAGCCCGTGCGTCGTGTGTGCCAGGCTTGCCACCATTCTAACGTACAATAAGAAAAGACCAGGACGTGTCCTGGGAAGCCGAAGGAGAAGATTCGCTCGCGATACCGGAGAAGGGTGAGAACGTGTCGTCGTGAGTTGGTGTCTTGTTACGCAACCCTGACAAAAATAACCGGGGCTGACGATGGCCCCGGGAAGACTTTACAGATTTCCTCAGGACATCAGCTGCCTCACTCAACAAGAGGACCGTCCTGGGGGGGAACAAAGAGAAACACCAGGACAGGTGGTGACCCTCGTTCGTGTGTGGACACAGCGAGGCTGGTGCGCGTGGACTGCGCGCAGCGCCGGCGCGCGTGTGGCTGTGTGCGCGTCAAGTCGTGAGACCAGAGCTTAAACCGTTGCCGTTGTTGTTGTTGTGAACCCTCAGGTAGCAGCGGCAGCAGCGGCAGCGGCAGCGACGAGGCCCAGGCAGGGCCCAAAGCCAAGAGAGCGGTGGTGGCTTTCGGGAGCGGCGACCGCCCCCTTATGAAGGAGGAAAAGGATTCTGGGAAAACTGCAAGGGCTTGTGGGATGGAGGACGCCGGGACGGCCTCCGGTAGTGATTGCGGCCCGGGCCGGAGCGGAGCCGGAAACCGCCGCAGCAGCAGCGGCAGCGGTGGCGCTCGCTTGAAGCAGGAGGACGCGGAGGCTCTCGATGAGGGTGATGACGCGCCAGGCCAGGTGCGTGCACGCCGGGCCATTGCTCAAAACCTCATCTGCTGTACATACAAATATTATCGGTCAATATTTTTTCCTTTTAAAGCGGTGCTATTGACGGACGTGTTGAGTTGTTTTGCTTTACTGAGCATGGACAGCTGGACACGTGGCTCGCAGTGGGAAGGTTGCAAGAGTTGAAATTCTGCTTGGGGGGGGGTTGCCTCAGCCCATCATCATTCCTTAGTGGGGGGTCAATAAAATTGTACCACTTTATGAGCAATTCAACAGTGTTTGTCCTATGGATTGACTCACCCCCCACCGCCATAGCAACGTAGAAACTTCCACCACTGTCTCTGTAGGGCTGTAAACAAGGAGTTGAGCAAAAATGTCTCAATGGCTCATTTCGAGAAGGAAACCACTTTGACCTTTGACTTTTGACCCGAGGGGACAAATGCTTGTTACCTTGGGTCGCGACTCGACGAGGTGAAGCGAGCGGCGTGACCCACGCGGTGCCGGGCGGTGCGGCTGACGGGATGCAGGTGGAAGATGTGGCGAGTGGAGGGGAGGTGCCCGGTCGGACCTTGAGACGGAGACCCCAGCCGTGCTTCCACTACCAGGCGGGCGAGCCCTTCCACTTCCGACCGCGCAAGCAGGACATCCTGTGGCTCATGAAGCACGAGGTGAGAGGTCGGGGGGGAGGTGGGGGGCATCAATTCAATGATCCGTCCGTCCGTACGTTCGTTCCATTGCCCAGTGAGGTGGCGTGCATTAATTCGTGCACAGGATTGCAAAAACGCGCGCAATCGTGCACCCCGACTTTGTGCAGCCGCTGGAGGCGCTGCGTTGCCGACGATGTCGAAAACGAGGTGAGAGAGATGGAAGCCGAGGGTGCGGCTGAATAAAAACCGGTGCCGCCTTCGCTGTCTCTATGGAGCAGCTCTTCTGCTGCTGCTGCTGCTGCTGCTGCATGAGCTTCTGCCGGCTTTGGTGCACCAACCTCTTCCTCCTACGACTTTGTGTGTACACACGTGTGTGGACTATGGTAGCGGTGGCTCAGCGGTCCGCGCGCCGAGCTGCGAACGCGGCGACCCGAGTTCGATTCCCGTTCACGGCCAACATAAGTGACGGTCCTGGGCCTCCTCGAGATTGACTCAGACTCAAATGAGTACCTGGTGCGGTGTGTAAAAATCGCCGCGAGGGAGACAAAGGCGGCCCGACCGTGGCGCTGGCCACTCACCCCCTCGTGTGCGTGTCGGCCTTCATAGGTCTCCACTCGCCCCAACAGTCTGTTAAGGCTACACGGGAGATCTTTGTCTTTGTACTCGGCACAGTGGCGAGCGCAGGTGGGTGCACCTGCCAGTCATCTTAGTCAGTTAACCCATCACACCTGGGGTCTGACACTTCACGTGACAGCCTACCAAAGTGCACCTAGCCTGGCATAGGCACCTTGCGGCGAAGACACTTAGCGTCGCGGGGGTCCGTGCGTGCGTGCGGGAGCGCTCGCGCCCCGATTGAGAGTGACAATCGGCACGGGGCGGTGCGGGCCCGCCTGTCATCGCCGCTCACAAACGATGGGATCCCCCGGGAAGCGGATTAGAGCCCCCCCCTCCCTCCCCCCCCCCTCTCGACAGCTCCGAGGCCAATGTCACCGCCGCCACTCTGCGGTCGTAACGATCGCTCTCCGATCGCTGCCCTCTCTCTCCTCTCTCTCTTTCTCCCCGCCCTCGATAAGCCATCACGGCGACGCTGGTGCCGTCTCGATGTCTTTCAATGAAATGAGAATCCCGGCCTCTGCGATTCACGGCTGCTAACGAACACCGATGTGCGTGTCCGTGCGTGCGTGCGTGCGCGCATCCGTGGGGAGCGATGGCGCGGTGGTTAGCGCCTTCCTCCACGAACCCGGCGACTCGAGTTCATTTCCCGCTCGAGGCCAGCGACGGGTTACGTGAACCCAGGTCTGGCGGTCTCCGGGTTTTTCCGTTCGTGCGTCGACTCTACCGGCGGCCGCGCGCAAGCCGCCGGCTTCGCGCCGCGCGCTACCAAGAGTTAAGTTGCTCCACTTGCAGAGGCGCCGCTGTTACTCAGCACCTCGGCCCGGCTAAAAATAGACGCCGCGTGTCTGCTCCGCCAATCAAGCTGCCTGCTACCCTCCTCCTCCCGCGCCCACCCACCCACCCACCAGCATCACCCCCGCTCTCTCCCGCGCGTGACCGCACGTGTTTTGGCACCGAATCAAGCACATGGATTCGGAGCGGAGACCGGCAGCGGCACATCGGCGCAGGGGTGGGCGGACGGGCTGGCAGGCGGGCAGGAGTCTGCGTGGCTACGATGTTCATCCACCCGCCCCTCTCACTCGCATGGTGCCAGCGCCGCGCCAGCAATGACGTCTCGTTAGCGAGCTCTGATCAGACGAGCGCGCGTCGGTCGCGACGGCTCAGGCGCTGCTGAGCAATTGACGGCGAATCCTCCGCGTGTACGATGGTGCGCACTCGGGATGAGTGTTGGGATGTAAACATTTAGGAATTTTGCCAGGCATACGTTAATTGTGTTAAAAAAAAATTTCTAACGACGTTTAAAAACATTATTGGATTTTTTATTGTTTTTTTCGTTGTGCTAACAAAAGTGACGTCACCCGTCGCCACGTGCCGGTAAACGAGCCCACGTGACCTTCTAGGGAGTGACCTTACTGTAAGATCCATTTGGGGACATTGTTGGCAAATATCTAAAAGAGTCCTGGGGCCTGCCTAAGGCCGAGTCAGCCTTAAATGAATACCTGATGTGGTGTGTCAGACCGATGTTGGACCAGCGTGGGTTAGAGCAGTGTTGGAACAGTGTGCGTTGGAGCGTTGTGTCAGAATGGTGTTAAATTAGTGTGTTAGAACTGTGTTTAGAGTTGGGTGTGTTAGGCTGTGCATTACAACAGCGGTAGTGGCTATTCTGCACTTGGCCTGTCACTCAGCACTCAGGAGGCAGCGAGGGTTCGCGGATCACACACGGATGTTGTGAAACTCTCTTCCCGTGAGCGTCGAACGGGTGCAATACCCTGGCTCGCAAGGAGATGGCAGTACAGCAAGTGGGCTCATTTCCATCCGTTTCGATATGTACGGGGATAGCGTGTTGCCCCCTCGCACGGTGTCCGGTTTCCTGTGACTCGTATAAGCGCTCACTAATTGGCTGAAAACATCTTCAAACAAAAAGCCCAATGTCAGCAGGGCGCTCCTGAAAAAGAGTCTGTGGGCTTCATTGGATGAATAAGTCATGGATATGATGACGATGATGATTGTTATTATAACAGTGTATTAGGCTATGATTCTAGAACTGTGTGCGATGGTGGTACGCTTTGGTGTTGCGGAGTGGGTTGGCCACTCGAGGAGTTAACCGAGTGCTCTTCTGTGAGCTTGGCAGGCCGAGGGCTTTCCAAGAAACATAAACACGAGCACGTGTGTGTGTAGCTATGCACGTATGTGTGTAACTGCGTGTGTATGTGTAACTGTGTTTGTGTGTAACTGCGTGTGTGTGTGTGTCACTGGGGTCGTAGTGCGCTGCGCTACGAACCAAGTGACCTGGGTTCGATTCCTGCTTACGGCCAACACCAGTGACAATTATAATCTGAAACTAGGTCGACTCAGCCTCAAATGAGTACCTAGTGCGACGTGTTAAAACATTGCCACTAGGGAGACAAAGGCGGCCGGGCTTGGTGCTGGTCACCCACCCCCTCGTGTGTCGTGCCGGCCTTCATAGGTGCTCGCTAACAGGACTTGCCCAACAGACTGTTAAGGCTACACGCGGGATCTTTGTCTTTGTACTGTGTATGAGTGTGGAGCGGTGGAGCAGCGGTTAGCGCGCTGCGCTACGAACCCGGCGGCCCGAGTTCGATTCCCGCTCACGGCCAGTACCAGTGACGATTATCTAAACTGGTTCTGGACCTCCCCCAGATTGGCTCAGCCTCAAATCAGTACGCCACTGGGGGGGCAAATGCCGGGTATGGTTCCAGCCACCTTAATATGTCACGCTGGCCTCCATTGGTGCTCGCTAACAGCCCTTGGCACCCAACAGTTTGTTGAAGCCTCTACGGGGGACATTTTTTTGTCTTTCTGTGTGGGGCTGTGTGGAGCGGATGCGTCTGCCTCTGCTGCTGGGACTCGTCCAGGCAGTTTGGTTACAGATCTGGGCAAAGCCTCGTGAGCATCTGGTGCCGCGGTTACGTGACCCCTTGAACAGCGCAGATCAGCTGCGATGGGCCTAGAGACGTGGCACAAATACCACGCTGGATAGCGGCACAGACAGCGGGCTAGGTGGGCTAGAGGCACTGGGCTAGAGACACTGGGCTAGGTGGGCTAGAGACATTGGGCTAGGTGGGCTAGGTGGGCTAGAGACACTGGGCTAGGTGGGCTAGAGGCACTGGGCTAGGTGGGTTAGAGGCACTGGGCTAGAGACACTGGGCTAGGTGGGCTAGAGGCACTGGGCTAGGTGGGTTAGAGGCACTGGGCTAGGTGGGCTAGAGACATTGGGCTAGAGACACTGGGCTAGGTGGGCTAGAGACACTGGGCTAGGTGGGCTAGAGACACTGGGCTAGGTGGGCTAGAGACATTGGGCTAGAGACACTGGGCTAGGTGGGCTAGAGGCATTGGGCTAGGTGGGCTAGAGGCACTGGGCTAGAGACACTGGGCTAGGTGGGCTAGAGGCACTGGGCTAGGTGGGCTAGAGGCACTGGGCTAGAGACACTGGGCTAGGTGGGCTAGAGACACTGGGCTAGGTGGGCTAGAGACATTGGGCTAGGTGGGCTAGAGGCACTGGGCTAGAGACACTGGGCTAGGTGGGCTAGAGACACTGGGCTCGATGGGCTAGGTGGGCTAGAGACACTGGGCTAGGAGACTGGGCTAGAGGCACTGGGCTAGGTGGGCTAGAGGCACTGGGCTAGGAGACTGGGCTAGAGGCACTGGGCTAGGTGGGCTAGAGGCACTGAGCTAGAGACACCGGGCTAGGTGGGCTAGAGACACTGGGCTAGAGACTGGGCTGGACAAGCGAGGGCCTGGATCCACCTTTGTGTGAAACTAAGGCCCCGTTCTCTCCCAAGACCATGGGCTCCATGGTAACGGATGACTCGGCGGGTTTTATCGCACGGCCCTGATGGCATTACCCGTCGGGGCCGGCCTCCTCACTCTTGCCTGTGTCGCGTCACCGCCTTTGCGTGGGGGAACGGCTGATGCCTCGCGGTGTTGGGGGCCTTGGAACCGCGCTTCGCCACTTCCTGAATCGGGCCTGGTTAGGGCTCTTCACGTGGGAGCGATGAGGAGTGGAAGGTCGCACACTTTCCACGCTCAGAAAAAGAAAATGTATTTATACTGGAGGGATCCGATGAGCTATGAAGCTCTTTTTCACAGATGTCCAGTAGTTTGACAGATGTTCAGCAGACATCTCTCTTGGGCCTCCATTATAATAATGGCAGAGTGTGTCAACCAACCAAGTTTCGTTGGAAGGGACCATGGGACACGATGTGACCAGTAGATGGCAATAGACTAATGGATTCTTGAATCAGTCCGTGTAGAGCTTGGCGTGCTGCCACGCCATAAGCACGATTTTTCTCCAGGATCTCCGGTTTCCTATCACGTGCCAAACGCATGTGATTGGGACTGGCCAAGCAACCCAATGTTGGCAGGCATTTATTACCAATTATGTT